GCCCCACACTGGGCTCCATGCTGGGTGTGGAGCCTCCGACTTTTTAAATCTGCCAGCATGTAACCATATACAAAAATTTTCAGTGGAAAAGACACTTGATTTTCCTTTGACATGAGATAGCTCCACCATTGCTTTCAGCCCTGCACTGTTGAAATAGATCACTAATGTTTATTTGCTCAAACAGATCTGTCTTATTTGTTGTATTACTTTAGCCTGGGTCAGCCAGATATTTTTTTCCAGTTTTTTTTTTTAATGACTTTTTTCCTTGAGTATAGTTTACATACAGCGTGACAGTAGTTTCAGGTATACAAGATAGTGATTCGGCTTCTCTGTATGCTGTGCTCACCACGAGTGTGGCTACCATCTGTCACCATACACCGCTGTTACAGTATCATGGGTCAGCCACGTTTTTTTAAGCTTTAAGTAAATAGCCCACTTGCAGTGAGAAAAGGGCATAAAACTCAGCTGTTCCTTGGTTTTTCTGCAGGCCCGAGGTATGAAGAAACGGGTCATTGACGACTTTCTCACCCAAAACAAGTATCTACTGGCAGCCAGGCTCACCAGCCAGAAGTTCTTCCATGAGCTCTGCCCCGTAAAGCGGTCTCACCGACAGAGGAAGTAAGGACTCCAGGCTTTGCCTCTGCTTGTCGTTGCAAGAGAGGGGCCACGTCGCATTTCTCTACCGGGCAATTAAACATCGACCTGTGACATCAGAACTTATTCTTTATGTTAGTAGTGGGGTGTATTAATCCAGGGTGTCAGCCTGGCCTGGGGTCAGAGAAGATCTCCCTAATTCATAACCCTTTAGCTGAGGCCAGAAGGATGAGTAGACTTTAGCCAGCTGTCAAGGAGAGGCTGGGTCACTTTATTTATTTATGTATGTATGTATGTATGTATTTAGATTTTATTTATTTATTTGGCAGAGAGAGACACAGTGAGAGAGGGAACACAAGCAAGGGGAGTAGGAGAGGGAGAAGCAGGCTTCCTGCTGAGCAGAGAACCCGATGCAGGGCTCGATCCCAGGACCCTAGGATCATGACCTGAGCCGAAGGCAGATGCTTAACGACTGAGCCACCCAGGTGCCCCAGCAGATTGCTTTCTTTTCTTATGAAGTATGTTCTCACGATCTCCCAAAATTCAAAATAATGGGGACTAAAAGATACAAAGATTTGTAGCTCTTAAATATTGCCAAATTACTCTGCAATAATAAAACTGAACCGATTTAGAATATCAGCAATGGAAAAAAAATGCCCATCAGCCTATTAGGAAAGATATCCTCCCCTCCTAGGTCAGGATTTCAATTGCACACCAAAAAATCACTTACAGCATTTCTTCATCTACCATGGGGCATAAAAAGGCCTCATGTAGGTCTTCCATACTTTGCAGGTGTAGGAATTGGCGTGGTCCATGCTGGGTACGAGAGACGCCTGGCCCATCACCTGGGAGCGCATAGTACTCCCTCTATCCTGGGAATCATAAATGGGAAAATCTCCTTCTTCCATAATGCAGTCGTCCGCGAGAACCTACGACAGTTTGTAGAAAGTCTTCTTCCAGGGAACTTGGTGGAAAAAGTAAGTACCTGGCGGAACAGTAGTTTACAAGGTACCTGGGAGCACTGGTGGCCCTGAACTCTGTCTGTGGTCATCTCAGACCTGAGTGTCATTTTGAACAGGACAAGACGTATGTTAATTAATTACTCAACCGAAATCATTTAAATGAAGTCTGTTGGAGACTGAAACAAGCTAAAAAGACTGAGAGAATCCCTCCCTGTTAGTAACCACTGGGCACATTTACACGGTGGTGGGGATCTGAGCCTGAAATGACAGTGACTCTGATTTTCTAAACCAAAAATTCAATCACAATGTAGGATGAAGGATTTCTTTCTGACTCGTGAGTTTGTTCATTTGAAGGTATTTGTCTTATGAAAGGATTCAGATTAAGTTACATTTGGCTATATATTTAACAACCACATCTATGGAAAACACAAGATTCCATGAAGTCAAATACTTTTTGGAACTTCCAGAGCTTAGAGTAATACAAGTATGAATAAATTTCACAAACAAAAATTGCACTAAAGAAACCAGGTACAAAGAGTTCATACTAGTTTATGATTTTTATACTTAAGAAGCATTTTTTCCTCCAGTATCTTAGATTAGGGATCAAAGGAACTAGAACAAGATTCTTGTTTGCTTTAAGTGATTCATTCCTTTAACTGTACCAGGGAGAGTGAACATACCAACAATGCCAACCTATTTCCACATGCACTATTCATAGACTATCCCACCAGGATCATTATCCACAGAAGAAATATTTGTTGGAGCTAGCAGAGAGCAGGGCAGGCTCCTAGAATGATTGTAGGTTGTCCAGATGGGTCCTCAAACGTTTATGAAATGTCTGTTCTCTGCCAGTCGCTGCAAGTGTTGAGAACACTTTTCAAGGAGCTCCCAGTCTAGTGGGTGATTATTTCCATCTCATCTGCTGAGAGGCTGCCCACGAGAGCTGAGAAAGGCTTCTTGGCAGAAACGGTCCCTGCACTGAGTTCACCAAGTGAGGAGAGAGAGGGAATGAGTTGCAGGCGGACAGAGGTCTGGGACATGAAGCAGTCAGCTCTGCGTGAAGTAGTCACTAGTGAGCAGGAGAGGGCAAGACTAGAGGGCTTTACAGGAATCTCGCTGCCAGGACCTCCGAGCGCCTGGCCACCCTGGTGAGAAACTTGGGCCTTGGTTTGCAGGTGCTTAGAGCCATTGAAGGGGGCTGAGCAGAGAGTGAATGATCAGATTGAGGTTTAATAGAGATCATTCTGGAAGCAGAATGGAAAGATAAATGGATTTTTTAACTATGAAGAATTTCTAGGTAAAATTTTTATTCGTGTTTTTTATATTCTCAGTAGGATTGTTTAAGGCATAAACAGGGAAGCACAAAAGTAGCAATTCACATGGTAATAAATGAAATGGTGTAACATACAGACTGAGTGGGCCCCCTTATTCTTTTAAGCCATTTTAAAAGCAATCATGGCATTATCTTCCACAGGGTAATAGATTAAGAAGGACAGTCTGTAACAGATTAAGAAGCATGTCTATAATTCAAAAGTTCAATTTTTTTATAACGTGCTCAGTAATTACTCCAGAAAAGACTGTGATTTCAGTCTATAAGATTGGGGACACATGAAAATATGAAATCAGTAACTATTCTTTTAAACCGTTTTAGTCAAACAGAGACAAAAAATTAGTGGTCTGCATTTTTTATTTTTTACAAAACAATTTTTTACAGATACTTGGTTTTGTTTCATTATCTCCTGACTACATTATAATGCAGTTGTTGAGAACTGAATACTGAAACTAACCTCCTCTCTTCCACTTAAGGTTACAAATAAAAATTACGTCCGATTCCTCTCTGGCTGGCAGCAAGAGAATAAACCTCGTGTCCTTCTGTTTGACCAGATGCCCGTCGTACCACTGCTGTACAAGGTATATGAGGTGCTGGGGGAATGTTCGCTCTTTTTTTGGTGGAAGGAACTTGTGGCCTGCTTGTCCTTTTCGTAAGAGCTTATCCAAAGAGAAATGTTTGAAGACCAGAAATCTGCCTTAGCCGCCGTACACTGAGCACCTCCTGATACCATTAAATGTGCTAGTGCATTCCACACACATAAGAGCATGGAATCTTCAGAAGAGCCCAGTGATACAGTATCATCCCTGTTTTATAGACCAAGATACTGAAGCTCAGAGAGGTTGTATAGCCTACCCCCGTGGTGACTGCATGATTCCCAGACCCGCCCTCTGAATGACACCGTCTGCAGCACTTCCAGTACCCCTCTGGTTGGCCCTGTGCCATGAGATGGGAGAGGAAAGTGTCCTGCTTAACCCCTGGCACGGTCACTGCCGTCTTCCATAATTGAGGTGATTCCTCAAACACTCCCATGTCTCCAACCCAGTGTAGATCTCAGTAAGCTGAATATTTTTCTCCATCTGTAAAAGAAAAATAAAATTCGCTGTGTTTGGCTTTGTGGATACAGTTTTCGGGCATGAACACCATAGAATTCCTCCAAGTGCACAGAGGTCTAGCAGCCCGAGTGGGGCTATACAAGCTAGCATTCGTCTCCACCACTGGTGTGAACTGGTCACACTTGGGTTTGTGTGATCCGCTACCAGTTTAATTTCTTCCTCTCTCTTACACCCTGACAGTTGACTGCTTTTGCATACAAAGATTACTTGTCATTTGGATATGTACATGTCGGTTTGAGAGGGGCGGAAGAGATGACAAGACGGTACAATGTCAATGTCTATGCCCCCACCATCTTGATCTTTAAAGAACACATAAACAAGCCTGCAGATGTTATCCAGGTACGTGAGAGTCGCCCTGTTGTGCGATTGCCCTCGCATTGTGTCTTGGGCCTTTAGAAATAAACAGCAACATTGAACAGAGCAAGTGAGAAGGAGAAATTCGTTTTTAATTTCTTCCTTCAGAGGCACGAAATTTAAAAACGAGTTTGGTTTTCATCCAATTTGGGACTGTTTTGCTCAAAAAATAATCCTTTGGCAGAAAATAGGATGGTGGCGATGCCAAGAGCTGAGGGAGGAAGATAATGGGGAGTTGGTGTTTCATGGGGACATTTTCCGTTTGGGATGGCGGCGAGAGCAGTTGCACAACAATGTGAATGTATTTAATGCCACAGAATTATGCACTTGGAAATGGTTAAAATGGTCCATTTATGTTATATATATTTTGCCATAAAAAATAAAGTAAGAGGGGCACCTGGCTGGCTTAGTCATAGAGCATGTGACTCCTCTATCTCGGGGTTGTAGGTTCAAGTCCCACATTGGGTACAGAGATTACTTAAAAATAAAATCTTTAAAAAAAAATTTTAAAAATAAGAAACAATAATCACTTTATCTCTAAAGTGATCCTGTCAGAAAATCAGTAATCTTATTCTAAAATAAATTACAAAGATAAATTTAAAAGTTAAATATAAAACAACAATAAAAAGGAATGAAAGAAAACCATAAACTAACTTGGAGAACATATAAGTGAATATCTGAGCTTAAGATAAAGAAGGGTTAAAAATCTCGGAAAATCTTGTTTTATAAGTTTTAAATTTGTATATAAATACTTAAAAATTTTAAGTTAAACAATAAGCTAAGAGAAATATTTACAACCAATCTAAAAAAGATTGTTATCTTTAATTTCTCATGAGCTTCTTCTAATCAAAGAGATCAACACAAAACTTACCGAATGTGATCGCTTAATGGGTATAGGGTTTTCTTTCAGGGTGATGGAAGTGTTTGGGACTGGAGAGAGGTGATTGTTACACAACACTGTGCATGTACAAAATGCCATGGAGTGATACATTTTAAAATCGCTAATTTTATGTTATGTGAATTTCACCTCAATAAAAAAAAATTTTTTTAATAAAACTTCCCAAGAAGAGTAGGTTGAGAATATGAATAAAATTCTGAGAAGAGATTTAGGTGACTGATAGTCACTTTTAAAAATTAAATCTCACTAATCAAGAAAAACCAGTTTAACATTTTCTTCTCCTCCCATCACATTGTTAAAGATTTTCAAAGTGAAGATACTCAGTTGAGAGTGGAGAGAAACAGTCGGTCTTTTGTTTTGCCAAGCTGGAGGAAGCTTCAGAAGTTTTCAGAAAAGTAGTTGGGTGGTAATAGGCCAATTGCGTTGATTCATTCAGGAAAAGAGTACTCCTGAGTACCTGAGTACCTTATGTGGGCCAAACACTGCCCCTAGTGCTGGGGACAAAGCCCTGAACAAAGTCACCTGAATTCCCTGTTCCAGGGTCTGTCCTGTGTCTAGCGGGGATGACAATGGGCATAACATACTCCATAGTGCTGTGTCATATGGGGAGAAGCGCTAAGGAGAAAAATAAAGCAGGAAAAGGGAATGTGGAGTTGGGAGAGCAGGTTCACATTTTTTAAGGTAGAATGACCAAGAAGGGCCTCACTAAGAGGAGGCTTGCGTAAAGACCTCGGGAAGATGAGATTACCTTTTAGGAATCTGTCCTCAGGGAAAAGGAATTCCGACCAAAATTACAGAGACATTATCGTTTGTAACCAATTTCACTGGGGGAAAAATACAAATATCCAACAGTAAGCTAATTATTGGTATATACCAAGCAGGGACTACTACATAGTCATTTAGCCGTTAAAACGGCTGTTCTAGAACACTTACTGATGGGGACAGTTTTCATAACATAATGTTAAAAAGAACATGCAGGATGCAAAATTGAGGTTCCTCACTCTGTAGCAGGTCTGAACTCTGTGGTCATCTCAGACCTGAGTTCCATAGTAGTTAATTACTCAAACAAAATCATTTAAATGAAGTCTGTAAAAGCCTGAAAATTGAAACAGATGAAGAAGCACAGAGACTGAAGGATCTCAATACATACCAATTCCATACACACTCTAAACCCTGATCTCGATTTTGTGACGTGTGTGTATGTGCATGCATGTGCATAGGAAAAAGCCGGAAATAAATACATCTCTTGATGGTAAAATTACATATTATCCTAATATTGGGGTTTTCAAAAATCCCTATCATGAACACGTATTATTTTATGTCTTTAATGTTATTTTTGTTTTGTTTTGTTTTAAGGATTTTTTTTCACATAATCTCTGCACCCAAAGTGGGGCTTAAACTTACAACCCTGAGATCCAAGAATCAGCATGCTCTACCGACTGAGCCAGCCAGGTGCCCCTATTTTTTTTAAAAAGCACTAAGATCCCTTTGATTTACTTTCTCGTAAAGGAAGCTAGAATGAGAAGTTCTATAAAATCCTTTATTTCATTCACTCAGTAAACATTTTGTTTCCTGCCTGCTGTGTGAAAATACAGAGGAGCTCTGACATCCAGAGTTAGTCTTTGTCCTCACAACTCCATCGGAGGAGAGAGGCCTGAAGGCAATTTCCATCCACTGGCATGGGTGACTCACTCAGATGTGAAAGTAGAGGAAGGGCACTTGAGGCTGGGACTAAAGGAAGGATGGTGTCTGAGGCAGAACCAGATGGGGGAAGGGGACAGTGAGGAGAGAAGGGCAGGTTTAGGAAGAAGGTAATGAATTCAGTTGTGGACGTACAGAATGCGAGCTGCCTGCGGGAAGTCTGAGGGGAGGTGTCCATCGGACAGTAGGGTGTAGGGATCCAGGTCTTAGTGAGCTGGGGAGAGAGATCTGTAGCACCTCAGTGAGTTGTGAGAGGTAGAAGTCCTCAGTGTGGCGCAATCTCCCAGCCATACATAGTAGGTGAGGAAAGGAGAGAAGGGGGCCGGGGACAAAATTCTGGACAACCGCCGGCAATTGAAAAGGGGGTGCCCTGCCCGATGGCAGCTGAGGAGCTGAGAGAATCAGGAAGAAAACATGCTGGTGGTGAAGAACGGAAACGAACTTCTCAGTTCAAGATTAATCTATGAAGACTTCCTAAATTGCTTTTCAGTAATAGCTTCTACTCTTGAGAATGATTTATTTATTCCTCAGGGAAAGTTGTAACTCAAATACATTCACAGAATTACTGGCACGGGGGTGCCCGGTGGCTCAGTTGGTTAAGTGTCCGACTCTGGATTTCGGCTCAAGTCATGATCTCAGGGTCACGAGATCGAGCCCCTCACGAGGCTCTGCGCTGGGGGTGGAGCCTGTTTAAGATTCTCTGTCGCCCTCTGCCCCTCCCCTCTCCTGTGCACACACACATGCTCGCTCTCCCTCTAAAAAAAAATTACTGGCACAATGGATGCTTTACCAGTTTGCTCCTATGGATAAAAGCACCACTTGTTCCGTGGAGCACTACTGAATTTGTTTTATTTGCTGAATGGTATTTTTGGCCACATGGTAATTTCTTGATTCATTCTTCCATCAGTGGGCATTTCGGGGCTTTAGGAGCCGTGTTGTCATGAACATCATGGGTATCTCAGTCTATCTGGGTTTCTCTAGGACAGCAGTTTTCAGAATGAGGTTCACAGACCCTGCGGTGGGGGTGAGAAGTCTGTGAGATCAAAACAACACGGAGACGTAATTTGTCCTTTTTCTCTGTGTTGACACTTGCACCGATGGTGTGAGAGCTGTGGTGGGAGAAACTGCCAGTGCGTAAGCCCAGGACCTAACCCAGTGCATAAACCAAGTCACAACCCAGGACACAAACCCAGGCCTGGGCCCCAGACTACCAATAAGCATCTGTTTTTCTCTCCTAAGCACTCACCATAAAAACAAACAGAAACAACACTCCTTTATCACTTAATACCCTTGATGAAGCAGTAGCAGGTATTAATTTTATTAATAAATAGATTGACCCCTGAGTACACGTCTTTTGGGTATTTTTAACATTCTGTGTGACAAAATAGGAACACTGCTGTGTGCCAGAGTATAAAGATTGTTGTCTGGAGGGTAAGCATTTGTGTGATGACTTAACTCGTGAGTTTTGAACTAGCCCCCTTTTTTAATGGAACATTGTTTTTACTTGAAAGAATAACTGACAGACAGCTAGGGTTATTCAGACTTGGGTTTGTTACAGGTATTTCCTAAAAACTGAACATAGTGAGCCTAGCACTTTAAGGGAAGCAACTGACAGTATGTGTTGCCAATGATAAAATTCAGGCTTCCAAGAAAATCAGAATTCTGAAAAATTTGTATCGGCCATTATGAGCTTCTCAAAACTTTCTGATGAGATTGGTTCATCTGTGTGGTGTGCTTTTTTTTATATGTATAATAAAATTCATCAGCATTTGGAAGATCAGAACCAATATTTTCCAAATGACCAATGAATGCATGATTTTTAAAAATCATGCCTGAGTAGGGGCGCCTGGGTGGCTCAGTCGTTAAGCATCTGCCCTCAGCTCAGGTCATGATCCCAGGGTCCT